CACTAAAGTATATACATTTCTGTGACTTTGGAAGGTTATTTTATAACATTCAAATACTAATTCATGATTCTCAAAATAGGTTTTTAATTTTATTTGCTCATTTGGCTGGTTAGCATGGGCAGTTAGTCCCTTCTTGTATAAATGTCGTTAAAAAATAATCTGGTTATCAACACAGAATATAATTTTATTTCACAGTTTATTTCTGAACATTGGACTATACCTTAATAGAAGAAACATACTGCATTGTGCTTGTTTTTCTGTGTGCATACATGTTTTACTATACTTGTGAGCCAGTTTTATTAAATGTTTTCACAAATATATTTTTATTATATTAGTAGTAGTAACCTGACTCGAAAGACTCATAAATCAGTCTTTAAAAATAATGTTGGTTGCACTTTACTTTACAGTATGTGCACTTACCTGTACTTATAGTGTTCTTAAGAAAGTATAAGGTAACTACATGGGTTAGGGTCAGGAACATGCAGAGAGTTCCTGGGGGTAGGGGCTCAAATGTAAAAAAGCGGGTATTTATATATGGAGTATTTCCAATTTAACAATTACTACAGTAAAATTATATATATGCATATTTATAAAAATAAAGTCCTTTGTGTGTTCTTGAACTTGAATTGCATACACTTCACGTAATAGGCCTGTTGGTGGCACTTGGGCTTCATTTAACCAATGGTATATGTCAGTATGTAAGGAGTAAATGAAACGTTCCTTAAAATTAATGTGAATTCTACTTTAGCAATTTCAAGGAAGAAAAAAAAACTGAAAACAGAGAGTGGCTACATAGTTTTTACACTGTTCCACTTCACATTGTCCAATGAAATTTAAGCTTGTTTAAGAGGCACACAATGCACAATGCCATGTCTCTGACTTACAGATATAAGTAGAAATAAACAGGTTTTGAGTATATCGTTACTCTTTTGTACAATATTGACCACAATATTATTTTTGATAACTGTTGAAAGAGGGGCACTTTTGGTTAATTTTGGAAAAAGGGCAGGGGACTTGAGCCCTCTGCACGTGCCTGGTTAGGGTTATGTTTAGGGTACGTTCAGGGCTAGTACCTAGTTATTACTCAGTTATTGTAATTACTATAACCAAGTACATAGTATGTACATGTGGAACAGGACTGTAAAAAAAGTGGTACCATAACGTCAATATGAAGTTGACATATAGTACATATAGTTCTCAACTCTATACAGCCCTTATATAGCCCTTACGGTCTATGATCCTGCATAGTTTAGCTCCAAACATGATCAACTCACCTTTGCCTGTAATTTTTTTTAAATCCCAAAGGGCTTGCTCATTTTTGTTTGATCAGGGTTATAACCAAACGTTGCAGGTCAATTTTCCAATAATTATAAAATATTCACAAATCTTCACAAGTCCTTCTGAAGCTTCAAAGTTAGAGTCCTGCTCAACATTAAACACCTGAATATGATGGTCTAGTAAGTGCATATGGCTATGTCGCAAATGTTTCTGCCCCAGCAGTCACAACATGATTAAAATTATAATTTGAAGAATGCTATATATTAAAAAGCTTTACATTAACTGACTTTCTATTAATGCAGCAAATGAAATGACAACCATCAATGGTTTCATGTTTTACATTACACACAGTTTAGCATTATGTGATTCATTTACAACAAAACATAAGAAAACATGTTTTGTTTTTCCTATTAAGGATGTCTTTCCTAATAAAAAAGCACCCAATAATTGACTTGTAGTTCCTAAACCTTTTTCATAAACAGGGCCTGTCTTTGGGCAGTGTATAATGAACAGTTTAGGTGGGTGACTCTTAAAGGGATAGTTCACCCAAAAATGAAAATTTGATGTTTATCTGCTTACCCCCAGGGCATTACCGCCACCTATCTCTTAAATGGACCATTGACACTCTATCTACAACAGGGATCCTCAAATCTGGCCCACGAGATCCACTTTCCTGCAGAGTTTAGCTCTAACCCTAATCAAACACACCTGAGCATGCTAATCAATGTCTTCAGGATCATTAGAAAATCACAGGTAGGTGAGTTTGATCAGGGTTGGAGCTAAACTCTGCAGCGCATTGGCCCTCCAGGGCAAGATTTGAGGAACACTGATCTACAATCTCAATTAGGAGTGGCAATGGTCCATTTGAGAGATAGGTGGCGGTAATGCACTTATTAGTCTGCAATCTGTCGTAAAGCAAAGAAGAAGAAGAAGACGCGCCGGCTGTTGAGAATGCACTCAGGACAGTTCGAGCATTGCGGTGAATCAGAGGTAAAAAACGATATAAATACTGTTCAGTTTCTTGCACAGACCGATCGTTTCATGTATTTACACATCAATGTATCATCACGAGACATTTTGTTTGTGTATGTTTTTTTGACTCTCAAAGCCGTGATTCCCATTCACTTCCATTATATGACTGACAGACTGCAACGGTTTGAGTTAAAAAATCTTTGTTTGTGTTCTACTGAAGAAACAAAGTCACTTACATCTTGGATGCCCTGGGGGTAAGCAGATAAACATCAAATTTTAATTTTTGGGTGAACTATCCCTTTAACCACTGTAGCGTCTGGACCACTCAAACACACAATATATATTTTGTAATATATTATTCTGTAACACCCCAGGAAGCCGAACAGGCCCCTGGTTCCATGGTAACCCTGACACCCGATACATTTACGACCTCCTGGAATTTAGGTGAAGAAAATCACTTCCTTGCCCATAGGGAAAATCCACAAGGGAAGGACTTTTCTTTGCTAATTAATTAATAGGAAAACCTTTCTTTGAATGAACACACATGATCCTTCAGGTCATTGGGTATATTATTGTCATCGTGTATTTTGTCTTTGAAATTGTATACTGTTATGCAGGCTTATAATCGAAACACACTCCTGCCAGCTTGCATATATATAACTCTACCATGTTTAGTACCTATGAATTCGTATTCGGATGATCTAATTGAGACTGTATATTGTATGTTTACACCTACGCAACATATTAGTGTTCTAAGAGTCTTTAATAATTTTTATCCGAGTTTCATATGCAAATTACCATGCTTTCAAACAAAGGGCCATAAAAATGCCCCAGTATCTCAGAACTCCCACTTGAGATTCCGGACTTCCTCATTGGACAAGCCCATCTTGAGAGGCGTGAATCTTTGCAGGCTTTAAAGGCCGCACTTCATGTGACCCCCCCAGTCGTGGTTCTGTTAGGTTTCGATAAGACGCTCCAACGCTCCAGAACATCCTAAGCTCGTGCCAGGCTTCGGCCTTGTCCTTTCCATTCATCAAGATCCTCTGACTCAAAACTGGTTCTTTTCATTGACCAACTTCAGCAAAGATCAACTGGAAACTTCAGATGATGGGCAGTGGGCAGTGGGCAGCCATTTATGCTGTGGCGCCCGGGGAGCAGTTGGGGGTTCGGTGCCTTGCTCAAGGGCACCTCAGTCATGGTATTGAAGGTGGGAGAGAGCGCTGTACATTCATTCCCCCCACCTACAATCCCTGCCGGTACGAGACTCGAACCCACAGCCTTTGGGTTATGAGTCCGACTCTCTAACCATTAGGCCACGACTTCCCATAGATTACATCAAACCTCTCTTTCAAACAGACGAGACATGCAAGTATCAAACTTAGTCTTATTAATTAGGTATCATTTGCAGGTGTGTTTGAACTAAGAATGTGATGTTTCCCTCGGGCAGATCTGCTGAATATGCAAATGGTTCTATAACTTCCTATTCTTATTTCTCTTCTCTTTACTGTGTTAAGCTTTGAACCCTTTCCTATACAAACTGTGTGTGTGTGTGTGTGTGTGTGTATGTTAGACCAGTTTATGTGTTTATGTAGTATGTTAGACTAGTTTAAGTGTTTATGTAGTTAATAAAACCTTACTTGTATCACACTTGACGTGGTTCATTGTTTGCTCATAACTGGAGTCACTTAATCATGCAGATTTATGCTACAAGCTTTTGTAGAATTGTACAGTAAGGAAGTTATTTCCCTTAACCAGGAAATTAACGTTCTTAGAATTGACAAGACAGTTGACCCTGAGAGGTCAGCTAAATATCTACAGCGGATCTAAAATATTCATAATTAATTATAACTAGTTATGATTAATTATTCATATTTCCCATGAGCTGATTCGTTACACCACATACCTGGAGGGAATATTGTATATTTAAATATATATTGGATATATATTGGTTGTTGAGATAAAACTGACTAAATAATTTACCAAATCAGTGCCACATTGACCATTGTGAGTTTGAGTTTGCTGGTGGCTTTGCAGGCAAATGCTGAGCTAAAGATGGAGATGATGAACTGCAGAACACCAGCAATATTCCAAGGATCCCCTTGGAAAAAAAATCAACATGCCCATATATAATGTTTTCACTGGCCAACTTAATTTTATTTTGTAAATATATACAAATTTTGATGGCTGCAAAACACTCCAAAATCGTTAGGACAGAGACATGTTTCTGGAGGACCTGGAGAACCCTAACCCTAATAAAAATAAATAGTTATGTCTGATAACACTGTTCTCAGTAACTAGTGAAAATACACAACCCTGTTTTTTATATATAGAGCTATACGGACATCTAATGGCTACACCAAGGTATTACAGATGTTTTCCCCTCACAGATGTTTTTCCCCAGTGGCGCTAACCTGCCTCATTCAATGGATTTTAATTACTTTTGCACAATTTGAACTTAAATACTGCATGAATTGAAAACAAAATATCAATTGTGAATATTGTTTAGTAACATGTAATCCCTTCAAAATACCAAAGAGTAAAGAAAAAAACATCACTGAAATGAAATATAGTATATTCATTTCATAAAAATAAATGTTTTATACAACTATATGGTTTCCGGTCTGCTTTGACCACAAACAACATGACTGTGACTCCTAAATGAACAATATCAGAAAATAGTAATAATAAAATAAAATGAAATAATTATGATAATTATGATGATGTTGATGATGACTATGATAATATGATAATATAAAAAAAATGGCTTAAGTTATCAGAAACAACAATCAACAAACAACAAAGTTCCTTGCAACTTTTGGACAGTAGGATCTTCTCATTGTGACTCAGTAACCCTGGAAAATAATAGACACGATATGTTAGTAAACAAGAGATTCAGACTAATTTTCAGTTTTAATTTTGTTATTATTACCAACAGTTGGGGGGGCGGAGGGGGTTAATGGGCGCTTGACTGATTGCACAGACACTATTGGAAGAGAGCTAAACTGGATGATGACATCACTGAATCATCAATGAATTGACTTTAACTGAAAAAAATGACTATTTTCTATTGTCCTCTTGCATGATTGACAAACTATTTTCCTGTTTGACACTGTAAAGCTGCTTTGACTTAATCTGTATTGTATAAAGTGTTACATAAATAAAGGTGACTTGACTTGACAAGTAAGTTCCACACACCATAACAACTGTTTTTATAGGCTATGTGAGGAATAACCAGGAAAAGCCCATTGGCACACTCTTCACCTGTCTAGTTGAATGAAAAAGGCTGTAGTTTACAATAAAGTATGCTGTTGTTTTTTAATTAGGAGTAAATAAGTTATGTTATATGTAGCATAACTACATTTCAACATTACAAGTTTAAAGATAGTTAATTGTAAATTGAACTAGACTATAGAAGACTATTATTATATTATTATTACTATATTATGTAGTAGAATACAGTTTACATTGGACCATATTATGGTCACTTTATAATTCCTATTTATTCTGCTAGCTTTACCATTGTAGTTGTGGCTTGTTTAATGTAAATTAAAATACATGCATGGATAAATCTTACTGCCATTAATTATATAATTATAGTAATTACATCACCATTACACCACTAAAAAACATTTACCTAGTTTAGTGCCACATTGACCACTGTAGAGTCGGTGTTGCAGGTGGCTTTGCAGGCAAATCCTGAGATAAAGATGGAAATGATAAACTGGAGGATGGAGAACACCAGCAATATTCCAGTGATCCCCATATTATTGCTCTAAAGAAGAACAAAAAGGAAATTCAACATTCCCATATGAAAACAGTTTAGCGAATAATATCTCAGCAATTATACTGAGTGAATTTATCAATATTATTACATTACTAGGAGGCATCATATGCCTTTCAAACTCTTGGAACATATCTGGTGCACAAGTCACATGGACTATTTTTTTCTTGTTTTTTTATACTTTAGCTGTGGAAATTTCCAGTCCATAGTCATTATAATTGTATGGAAAAGAGTGACCAGCACAATCTCTATTAGTAAAATTAGTAAGTGATGACACAATTGTCATTTTGGATTGAACTATTAATTTAACCAAATAAAACAGCAATTAAAAACAAATTTAAACAGATCATATTAATTTATTGCAAATTGTACATTTAGCACCTTCAATTTTGAACAAATGACAGTGTCAGTACGATTGTAGTTATAGGAGCATCTTCGATAGGGCATTGGAATGTAATGCATCTCTACGGCCATCAGAGTAATGGCGATCGCTGCAGTTATGGCACTGATCACATTCATTCCAAGAGAGGCTTTCACCTACAGGAAGAAAGGTTGATGCTTAAAAGGTGACATATTGTTATAATAATGGTGTACACATGTAAAACGGCTTGAAAACTGAAAATCAGACTACTGTGGTAAAAGAGAGTTTATCATGGAAAGGTTTGTGGTTTTGTGGTATTCTGTTTACGCAAATGTATTAGCGTGACTAAAATCTCCCTTAAGATTACTCATCCCAAAATATGTTGATACAAAACATATATATATATTTTTTAATACTGGAGCATCTTTTTTTAAAATATAGTTCTCATGTAAATACAAGTTACATAAAAAGCTGTTGTTCTTGTTTGTTTTAATTCAAAATTATGTAAATATTAAGGCAGCGAAAGGTATATATAGGAAAATGGTGTTGATTTTGTTGCTATTTGGTTTTTAAGAGTTTGAGAATAAAATCACAAAGTCCTTTTACCCCGTACCCACTGTACCCTACTTTTCAGCACATTATATATACATACCACACACAGATGAAGTTTTTTCTGCGCTGCAACAGACAGAGAGCCAGCACTGATGTACTGAGAAAGACACACAGGACATGTTAAAGTTCATTCTGGAAATTAGAATAAGAAGCTAGAAAGCAAAGCCGTCAAAAAGAAACTTACAATAAGGGATCCCCAGTAGGTGATGCCACTAAAGATAAAAATGGGTAGCTCAAAGGTATTGATATTAGTGGTGCATACAATACCAAACAAGAAAATCACCACTCCTATCATTATCTGGACAGTCTAGACAGGGCAGATATGGGTTAAATGTTTATTCATTTTTTATTTATTTATCTTTTCCCATAATGGTATATCATTAATGTTTGAAAACACACACACACACACACACACACACACACAAAGAAAAGCTACAGTAATGTTTTATGCACTACAGCCTTAAAGTAATCAGAATGGCACACATATATTCACTTCAGGACATATGACAACACAGTTTTATTTTCTGTTCATTTTATCACACAAGATAATATGGCACTAAAATATTCCCAAAATCATTTATAATTATAATTCATCATTACCCCTAGTGCCTTTGGTTGTGCTTTGAAAAATCCTTTAAGAGCAGTATTGTGATATGCTCCTCTGGCCTGCTGTTCGTCATCACAAATAACATTATCTTGTTTCACTTGTGGATTTACTTGGATGATAACTGTAGCTTTGTCAGTTGACATGAACTTGCTGCTTTCCATTCTTGGCAAAGTTTTCACCTGCAATTAAAAGGAAAGTTCACCAAAAATAATAATTCTGTCATTGCTTACTCGCTCTCAAGTTGTTCCAAATCTGTATAGGTTTCTTTCATCTGTTAACCACAAAAGAAGAATTACTTGAAGAATGATGTTAACCAAACCTTTGACAGTAGCTACTGAAAATAAAAATTAAAATTATGCAAACCAATGGCTACCAGCTACTGTTTTGTTACCAACATTCTTTAAAAAATCTTCTTTTGTATTCCACAGAAGAAAGAAATGTATACACCTTTGGAACAACATGAAGGTGAGTATATGAAAGAATTTTCATTGTTGGGTAAATTATTCTTTTAAGCCTTAAGCATTAAAATTTACAAATTGTCTGCTTTTCATGAACAATACATCTGCATTTATATTTACAGCATTGTCTTGATTGATAAAACTGTGATACTGCCAGTGTTTCTAAAACAAAAAAATTACAAAGGCTTTGTTAGATTGCATATTGTCATAAAAAGTAAAGGTAGAACAAATGCACAGCTAAAAATGTTATCACTGTAATGTATACTCATATAATACCTTGATTAAACACTTAAGATAAAAGTATAGAGAAGTTTTGACAAGGATCCCAAAAAAATAAAAAAAAAATAAAAAACTTAAATGAGCAACAAATTACACTAAAACAATAGCTGGTATGAAATATCACAAAAAGTCCAAATGTTATTGTAATTTGTAATTGATGTATATCAAAGTGTGTATATAAAGATACACTTTATAATTAAAATAATATTAAGTGTTACCTGAGCAAATGATCAATTAAATATATTTCACCTGAAATTAAATGAGTTGTGTTGATGTGGCTGTCTGATCGTTCTTCTGGTGTATCTTTGTGTGTGTGGACTGTGAAGAACCGCTAAGGAGGAGCTTGTGTCATATGATCTTGCATCATACTTTTAAGGATTATTTTGATGCCCTTCCTCATAAAATTCAAAGGGCTTTACATATAGATAAAAACTACAAGGTAGCATAAATTATGGCCACATTAATTAAAGGGACACCGGAGCCCGAGACCAGATAGGCATCTAGCTAGGCTCTAGCTAAGCCCACCCAAATGTCTGACTTACCCAATCAAAACTTAATTTGTACAATTTAAAAGTAAATGCACATTACAATAGCCCATTTTTGCTGCATCACTTAATGTAAAGTGTTACTTCTCTCTCTATGAAAATAGGCTACATGATGTTTTTATTTACTTAAAAATCTGCTTTGTTTGTATTGAGCCTTTTCCTGCAATGGGATCAGATCTTGAAATTGAGAAACAGGATAAGTCAGATTCATGGACAAAGCTGAATGGTTTTGTGAACTGAAAAATACATGTAAAATAACATGTAAATATTAATATTAATAATTTTCAGTGAATAATGACTTACTTCTCAGCCTGTTTCTCACACAAAGCTATCTTATGGCCTGGAATATTGGGCACAGATCATATGGACTGCTTTTGTGATAACTTCAAATGTCTTGCCCCCAGTCAGTGTAATTGTATGTTACAGAGTGACCAGTACAGTCTTCAGAATTTCTCGATCTGTGTTCTACGCATCCAGGTTTGGAGTCATATACGAGCAAGTAAACAATGACAGAATTTTCAACTGTGCCTTTAAGTAAATAACTGCTATTAAAACACTAAAAACAAATTAATGCACAATTAAACATGAATACAAAATATTGCACATTGTGAATATAATACCTCAACATATAAACTTGGATGATCCATTGATATTAATGCTAACTGTATGCCCATCAGAAGAATGGCCATCCCTGCGGTTATGGCACTGAACACATTTATTCCAAGAGATGCTTTCACCTGCAGGAACAGAATGTACTAGTTTCAGACTACTAGGAGTATTTTTTAATACTCAAAGACAGATCAGTGAAAAGCTTGAAACTTACAATTACTTTTAAGTAGGGGAGACCTACTTTAAAAAAAAAAAAGTATTGGGGGGTGGGTTGTGTAACATCTTTTCCCATTTACTTCTACTGGACCAACAAAGTGGATGTTATAATAATAATAATAATTCTGAAGTAAATTTGAAAGACTCTAACTGCATTTAAAGACTCTAATCTACATAGTGATATGTTGGAGATTTACATTTAAAACAGCTAATTTGGAGCAGACAAATAGGAAAGCATATCAAAATTAGACATACATTGGGCAAAACACTGGGTTACAGACGTTAAAGCAAAAACTCTTACAACTATCCAAAGCCTTTTGTTTAGTTGATACAAATGTAGTTGCAATCTTGATCACTGGTCCAGTTTTTTGGTCCTTTTACCAGCAGTAGCTTTACAAGCTACAATGAGACAACCAATCTTTGCTAATAGATGATATCTGAACTTCTGCATTTATGACAGCTTGAGGTGATTTAAAGTGCACAGTTATAACTAATACTAGTGGGAAAATATATTAAAAACAATGTGTTATAATGTGCCGAATCAGTCGGGGTTATGTACATACCACACATGGATGATGTTTATTCTGCGCAGCGACAGACAAAGAGCCAGCACTGATGTACTGAGAAAAACAAACAAATGACATTTAAAGGTCATTCTGGAAATTAAAATGAGAAGCAATAAAGCAAAACCATTAAATAAACTTACAATAAGGGACCCCCAGTAGCTTATGCCACTATAGTCAAGAATTGCAGAATAACTGTAGACATTGGAGGTAAGTACAATACCAAGTATGAAGATCATCGCTCCAATCATTATCTGGACAGTCTAGAGGGCACACATAGGTCAGGTATTTTATTCATGATGGCATAAAATGTGTGTTTGGATACAGTGATAGAAGAGATTAAATACTCAGAACATTCCCAAAACCATATTTTATAATTCATAATTAAATGCATTACCCCCAGTGCCTTTGGTTGTGCTTTGAAAAATCCTTTAAGAGCCGTATTGTGATTTTTTCCTCCGGCATGACCATCAACAAAAATAACAGTGTCTTGTATCACCTGTGGATTTACTTCGATGACAACTGTAGGTTTGTCAGTTGAGATGACCTTACTGCTTTCCATTCTTAGAAAGGTTTTGAATTTCTGCAATAAGCACAAGTTTATATTGTGCAAGTTCAATAAGAAATGTGAACACAGGTCTTTGCATACAGGAGCAATTATTACTAGTTAAAGATGACAAAAATATCTCTGTTAATCAGACACTGCAAAAATAAATAAATACACGCATACATAGAATTTAGTACTTCAGTAGGTTGTTATTTGTCTATTTCATATCTTTGTAATAAACTGGCAACCAACAAAAACAGTGATGGTAATGAGAAAGCCACATGAGGAATCAAAGCTCATCACAAGTAGATTTTCCACAAGCTGAGGTAAATATTAACAAATAGTAGGTGCACGACACCATCATGGTAACACAGATGACACAATAAAAAAATGTGATAAACATTAATTTAACAACATGAGATGTAACATATAAAATGTAAGAAGAACTAAGAGGAAATATAATAATTTCAATGTAAAAACAGCAAATGTGAAGTGCCACAGGCAGTTCTGGGAATGTCAATTTATGGTCTTTCACTGTAAATTATAGAATTACTTGGACATTTTCACTTTCATAAATTGAACAATATTTTACTATAAAATTACATTAAATGTCCTATTCGATTTATTACAGTTCATTGTATAGCGTAAGGGAATTTACCCTTAACCAAATAATATTTTTTTACCATTTTTTGTTTACTTTTACTGTTCCAAATGCACACATTTTTTAGTGTTGCTAAATAGCTTTTTGACAAAGATACCTTTGTCCAGCCTAATGTTCTAACAAATCAAAAAACATTTAAAATGAGTTTTTAGCACCACACAATAAATGAGCAACAACTTACACTAAAAAGCACACAATATAAAAAAGAACATTGATGTTAATTTATAAAATATCTTACCTGAAATGAGATTAGTTGATGTCTGGTAACTCTTTTTGTATCTTTGTGTGTTGACTCTGATCTGAAAGAACAGTTAAGGAGGGGCTTGCTTTTAGTAGAAACTTTCTGTTAATGGCCACCTTCGTCTTAAAACACAAAGCACTTTGGTGAAAGATAATGTTCATCGCAGCATAACTGGCAACTGATGACAGATAATATTTGTTTTATTATTAAAATATCTGCATATGCATTTTAAACAGGCCAATAATAATAATAATAATAATAATAGTATGTACATGTGGAAAATAATGTGTTTTTTTAACCTTAAACCGCACTCACACATTTCATTACACCAAAAACACAAAATAATGTTATTTTTAGCAACATCATATGACCCCTTTAAGAATAATCAGAACTCTTCTAAGAGCACTAGGATACATGTTTAAAATATATACAGGAAATTATTTATAAATTAAATCCATTTAAATAATTGTTTCATTGGTTCAAAGTCCTAGTTACAATATATAACATTCTTTGCTCTGTTACTGTTTAGATTTTTGGCACAAAGAGCTGTCCTTAGTCTTGTTACTTAGTTACTTGTTACTAGTTACTTGTTACTAGTTACTTGTTACTTGGTCCACAGTAGACTCACAGCACACTTTTCATTCTATCAACAACCATATTACTGCAAAAAGGTGAAAAAAAGCAAGAAAAGAAAAAGAAAAAAGAAAAATGTTAGAAATCAAGCATTCCTGCAGCTCAAACAGTAGAACATGGCACTATCCATGTTAAGATCATGGGTTAAATTCCCTGGGAATTCAGGGACTGATTATATGTATATATTTTACAACTCAGACAACTGCTCTAGTATCACACCAATCAAGTTGAAGGTGGTTTACCATGGAACATTTGTGGTTGCCTTAGTTCATTTCCTTTTGCTAGCCGTACATTTGCTGCCTTGTAAGCTATTTAACCATAAAGACTGAACTTAAGCAGACTTGTTAACTTTGCAACATCAGTAAAATGTTTGTTTTCTGTTTTTAGCATTGACCAAATTGAAAGCAAATGTAAGACATTTTAGAATAAGCATAAGAACATGTGAGCAGCATACACATGATGGCAAATTTTGAGCTATATTTTAAAGGTATTACTTTTAAAGGTAATACTTTGTTTACTGAAATGCTGCTCAGAAACACTGAGAACGGATGCAGAAGAAGATGAGCTGATTTACAAACCACAAACACTTACAGATTACATGTTTTCCTGTCATACACAGGGACAACTTTTTGTTCATTAAACAGAATTCTGGTTTTAATGGACATTAAACACAGAATTCTGATTCATGATCTCAAACATGCCTATAATCTCCAAGTGAACATAAATGTACTGACACCAAGATGAAATGTAAACCTTACAATGAAACTTTTCAACTTAAACTTTTTATTTGTTACAAAAAAAGATACAATAAAGTCAACAATTAAGTAATCTGATGCACTTTTAAATTAAAATTTTAATTATATCAATGAGGCGGTCTAATGACACAGAAGCATGTTTGTGCAGATGGCACATTTAGATAATACAAATCTTTACCTTGTTTACTGAGGGGGGGGGAAATCATCTTGCTCCTGTTCTCATTTTTATAGGACATGTTGTTCATGTAAATGCTGTTCCTGATGAAAGTGCATGTGTAAATGTGGCATTCAGTATTATCTTCATAAATGTTCCTGAAACAAATGACTCTGAATGTGTTTATGTAATAGTTTATTATTGTTGTTCATTACTGTCCACACAAGCCTTTTCCCTTTCTGCAACACAAATCAATCTAAATGAGGACTGAGGGTCTGGTTTTCTTAATAAGCTCTATTGACCTGCAGACTCTCATCAATGATAAAGTCAATTGTAAACATGCATGCGCGCACACACACACATACACACACAGCCAACTGAATGTATAAGCAGTATATATAAAACAGGAAAGCATTATTCAGAAAGCTGTACTACCAAAGAGAAGCACACACTGAATTGTATTTGCAGTGGTATTAATTATTAAACATCTTCTCCCAAAAGCATTGAGTCCAGTAAAGCAGTGTGAAGTGAGAAAGGTCAAGGACAACCCTCAAAAGACTAATATTGATTTTTCTAATGCATTTTTGTTGGTTTTAAAAACATCTAATCATAATATATACACTAGTCAACATTTAAAATGGATCAAAACCTTTGTCCTAAAGCCTAAAACCAAAATGTGTGGTTTGATGAACTTTGATGAACTTTTTTTGATCCACTTCAAATGTTGACTATCACTTCCTTTTCATGTCTCACATTCTGTTCTCTTTTCTCCTAACATGAAGTAGTATGTGTAACTGCTAATGTTTCTTAGTCTTTTTTTAATATTAAAAAAGAAAAATGTGTGCACAAAAACACAGGCTGTTTCAAATTTTTGAATTTTGTTACCCAACTGTTAAAAAGCACGGACATTTTTTTCTTTCTCTTTTTTTGCTTAAATATCTCACATAGTCCTGTAAAATTTAAACGGGCATCTTTTATATTAGGACCTAATGACCTCTCTCCAATGATAGATTTGGAGCATTGATCTGGATGAGGCTGTCAGCTGTGCCTCACTGTGTGTCTCCCTTTCAGTCTTTGCTTCTCCAAGGCTTTGCAGTCTTGTATTAATAATAGCCAAGCATTGACCACTCAAAATATAATTCTGGGGCAGAAAATGAAAGAACCGGTGTCTGGACCAAAAGCTGGACTTGTTTTTGTTAAGAAGTTGAGCAGATCGATACCACCCATGAAGAGGCTCTGTGTCCTCACAATCGATTCTCTGCTGACTTCCACAGAAGACGTGATGGATTTGTGCTAGTATTTAAACCATTTTTTAGTAGAAAGTAAAGTCATATATACAGTATATATATATATATGAGGTGGCTCTAGACCACTTTCAACTTGCTTCATACACCTAAATTCAACATGAATTGTCCTAAAAGGACCAGTGTAATATAAATAATAAAAAGTACAAATAAAAGATTAAGTGAAATCTAATGTTTAATTATTATCATATTTCTAAAGCATTTAAAATGTAATGTCTCTGATTACTTAATTTTAGGGAATTAATTATTATTAATTCATTCAGGGTTTGAAAGGACTTGAATCTGAAAATTCGAGGTCCACCTGATTAAAACTGAATTCCAATTTGATAGTTTACACTTTAAATCAACGGTCGTCCAGCTAGCCGTTGACCTCAGTACATATTTTAACAATTTGAATATTTGTATTTCCCTGGCCACGGGCTAATACATTCTTTGATAAGTAAGCTACGAGCTAGGTAACATGATCTTGGCAAGGTTTGACTTTAAATTATACGACACCAGACAATGATTCTTTATAAATGAAACACGAATTTTATTGGCTATTCTAGATTACATTAAAACTAAGCTAAAAC